GAAACCAGAAAGTGGCATATAGCAGGCACTCCGTCTCTGGGGGTAGCCAGGGACTCTGCTCTTCGAGTAAGAGAGCAGATGTACTGCGAGAGCGTTTCGGCCAGCCAGAGGGTAAAACCGGGCAGCATGTGCCTTCAGTAGTGAAACTGGACTATGGGAAGGTGTCTGCATCAGACATAAGTAGTTTCAATATTGTGGTATGAGAAGCTGCATGAGCTGATCTGAGATATCGACCAGTGAGTCTAAGTGAATCTACTTGGAGCTTGATTCTCCTTTGAATACAGTTTGAAGAGTTATTTTGCTTTATGACAGTGGACGAATGCTTTCAGAAGCATTCGCGACGCACAGCTTGTTGCTGCTTGAATAGTCTGCGAATTCGGGTTGAAGCCCGCACCAATATGATAGAACGAGCAGTCATCGACCGACAATTGCTGCTTATGCAACATAGTGTGGAACATCACCCTGTAAAACTCGACACTGCTGATACAGGGTGTCCATCAAGAACCTCTGCAGAATATTTTGATGCATGTTCAGACCCCTGCCTAAACAATCCAAACAGGTGACTGGTTGCACACCAACGCCAGTGCTGTCCAATCTGCATCCATTGCAACTTGAGCGTATCGGCTCAACCCGTAAGACTGGCTGACTTGATTTCAACTCAGGGAAGCAACGTCCAACTTGGGTGCTTTGCTTAAGTTGGATACTGAGCGGTTACAATACACTCACTTTATTTTAGGCGTCCCTGTAGAGTAGTTGGTATCGCGACGTTCTTGACGTCGCTGACAGACTACCGGTGGTGGTTCGATTCCCCGCTGGTCCGCAGGTAAGCCTCAAAGTGGTGACCAGCCGAAAGGCACCTGGCACCGACCACAAAAAAAGGTTACATTACACTCACTTCAGCACTGACTTTGTGCGTGGTTCAGCATGACAAGATCGCTATTCTGCTGCTTTCTTTGCCGCGTAGAACGGATGCAACCAGTCACCACAGGTGACATCATGATGCTTGGAAAAAGAACTCCTGAGTGGACTCTGAGAGTGCCCTGAGCGCAGTGCCGCTTCTTTCTTTTTCACCCTAGATCATGTCTCACCACTGGTTTCACCTTTCCGCCTTTTCACCACTCGTTGCAACCCGGCGTTGTCGGTGTTTGCATCCGAGTGCATGGGCGACATGTCATGCCTTAATGGCTGCTCCTTGTGATCTCGGGGATCCTGGCTGGCGGGATCCCTGGTTTCCGCATCGAGCTGTGTTGTTTTCCTCGCCCTTTTGTATGGCCCTGTTTGTGGTTGTTGTGTTTCTGTTCGTGTTTTTGCTTTGGCCATACTTGGATGACACATAAGATGTCATCGCATAGTGAATGCCGCAGCTGACCGATATCCCACACCATTGGGATGTGCTTTTTGTTGTTGTTTTGTTTTGGTGTTTTTTTGTTTGTTTTTTGTTGTTTCTGGTTTTTGTTTGGTTGGCTTTTTTGTTCTGCTGTGTGTGTTACCCTGGGTTGTTGGGACAGTCCACTGGACTACGTACAGACCCTGGTCAGCCATCTTTTGAGGCTATCTGAATAAGACTGCCCTGCATGCCAATTTGTTAATTCAATCGTTGCCCGATACGACATGTTTAACGACCTGGCGAAAGCCATGAAGGCGTTGGACGGAAAAAAAGATAAGACTCTGTGCATCATTTGGACACTGGGAGTCCGGTGGTCCCATAGCACTTTCGCTCGGCTGAGCTGTGGCCATCTGTTCAATCCGCATTACAGACTTGGGTCCAGAAATCTGGTAGGCTGAGCAAAACAGCAACGGGCGCCATGGCTTGATGTACTTTGACATCATCCTATGCTAGCTACTACTGAGTAATATTATCATATACGCCCACCCGTAAGAAGACAAAGGAACAAAACACCCCTTACCCCTCCCCTTTCCCCTACTTAAGAGGGTGGCGTCCTCATTGGTCAAGCCCTAAGGCCTACAGGTACAATGGGTAGTTCAGGCACTCGTCAACCATGGGTACCCCGTGGTGACGGATGCCAAACTACTTTAGCAACTGCCAAGTCGTGGGCGGCAACCGTGGGTACCCCACGGTGCCCCTAGATTTTACTGGAACTGCACGTGAGCTAGTGTCATGGTGTTGCCAGCTAGCAGAGCCTTGGGCTGAGCCACCTGAGGGCGGTGGGGCTCTACTCTCTGCTGGCTTGATCATTTGCGCGATGAGTGGGTGATTTCGTTTGGGTTCTAAGTCGACCTCCGAAGATTCTTTAGGAGGAAAAATACCAGAGGGAGGGATTGCCGCAGAAAATCCTGTGCGCACCCCTTCCAATAAACTTGGTAATAATGTAAAATCAACATCATGCATAATACGTTGAAGGGAATGAAGAATATGAAGATGAACAGGTTGATGCTCTCGAATAGACCAATCTGGTTGGTGTCCATGAGATACCAAAAACTGCTCCAGGTCGTCTTTGAATGGTTGCAGGATTTCTTGGGAAAAAGAAGGTGAAGAATCACCGGATGCCACATGGAACACTGGTTCAAGAGGAGATCGACCAAGGTTGGGTCTTTGCGTATCCAGGCTCCTTAGAGGAAGCCCAACAGGAATATCCAGCGGGCGTTGCCATTGGCAAACTAGGCGTTGCCAAAGCTGAAGGCCGCGCTCCTCGCCTGCTCGTAGATTCCAGCGTGTGTGGCCTTAACGGCCGTTGTATTATTCCTGAGAGATCGACTCTCCCTACAGCTAAGGAGGTATTACGCAGTTATCCGCTTAGGAACTTCCAGCACAATTTGATTGGCTTTTCACTGGACATCAAGGCAGCCCACAAACGAGTTGTTCTTCATCCGGAAGAGTGCGGATTGGTAGGATTCTCTCTGGAGGGCAACCTATTTTTTTACCGTGTCACTCCTTTCGGAGCTATTTTTTCAGGATTTTGGTGGGCTCGCTTGGGTGGACTGCTTTTGCGCATTTTCCACCATTTGATCTGGTTAAGCCACGCAGGTTTTCTCTATGTCGATGACTTTTTATTCTTTACGGAGGCCAACATGATGCCACTGTCTGCTTCCATGCTATGATTTTTTGCCAATTACTGGGTATTCCTATCAGTTGGAAAAAGACAGCTATGAGTTCCTGCATTGACTACATTGGCTGGCGATTTGACTTCAGCGCGGGCATTGTGACGATCCCTATTGAGAAAATCCGCAAATTGCGAGGTTACATTGAGCATTTGATCTCGCAACCTCGGACTACACGCAAATCATTAGAAAAGCTTATTGGATTAGCTATGTGGATTACGCAATTATTTCCACTGATGCGGATCTGGATTCATTATTGGTATTCCGACCTCTACACGATCCCAGCCACTCATTTTAGCATTGATGCAGGTACCTGGCCTCGCCTCCATCAATATTTGTCATCAAATTTGACATTTCATACAACACCCCTGGGATCCGCTATACCGGTAGCGAGCAAATTACTATCGGTTCGTCATCAACAAGTTTCTTCACTTGCTGATCTCACATCCCTCCATATCAAAACGGAGAACAGAATATGGCTGCGCATCATCAATCCCAACTCATCGAAACGCAAACTTCGTCCTGATTCGCTTCGGGTTCTGAAGCTATTTGATCATTGGTTGATGGGCATTCCTCCATCACGACCTATGAGAGCTAAGCCATATTGGAATGGTATGGCGGCGGCAGATGCGTGTGCCTCTGGTTCTCACTGTCAAATTGGAGGATTCATCCGACACCAATCGGGTGTTCAATTTTAGTTTTCTGAAAAATTTTTACATGCTGATTTTGAGAATTTGAATGTTCATTTGGATTCCAACATGCAACGTACTTGGATGACCGGACCGGTTGCTAGCCACTTATGAGGTTACTAAGACCTCTAAGTGGCACATCTATGATGTCTAAGTCATCATCTATCATGCATAAATGCGTCCTAACTACATCTATGTGGTTTTAGCTGGTGGCGACCACATCTAAGTACATCTATGCACTTACGTTTTTTAGAGCAGATAGATGTCCTCTTAGCCGAAGTGCTTAAGTCATTTAGGGCACTTAGCTAAATGCATTCTAAGTAGATAACACGCACTTAGCTAAGTGGTTAGAGGGGTGCTAAGTCACTTAGCTAAGTGGACTTAGTGCGGTTAGCTAAGTGGTCTAAGTGCACTTAGCTAAGTGGTCTAAGTGCACTTAGCTAAGTGGCCTAAGTCACTTAGCTCACCAATGATATATGGCATAAAATCTAAGTTTTTTCTGGTAATTTTCGGTTGACAATAGACGTGACAGGTGACATATATGCAAAGCAGAGGATGGTTTTCCCAAAGATTTTTGGTGGTTGGTGGTCAATTTTGTTTTCCGGGTGTGATCCGTTATCAATGCCATAGATTTTTTTCATGCATGGCAAAGGGCAAATCCATGGAAACATGTACAAATTTTGTTTTTTAAAGAGGCATTTCGATGCGTTTCGTGCTTTTGTTTTTTCAGGTGAGAGAGTTTCTTGAATGAACCGAAACAAACATTCATTTTTAAACTGTGTTTTGTCTGACCTTTTTGGACTTTGATCGAAGAAACATGATTTTGATTTTTGCCAAAGAGATTGTTCACTCTCTGCCCCGGCTTCATGTTGGACTTGTGGCAGCTGCTGCCGCAGAGCAAAGGTGCGCCCTCCCTGCCCAGCTGCTTGCATGGTCGCCAAATCATATGGGTTTCCAGGGTTAATTGCCCTGATTGCATTTCCAGACTTAACTGACCGAACTTTCGTTGTTTGACTGGTTTTCTGCATCGTCAATTATTGAAGATTTGGCATGCATGTGCATATATCAGATATATTATATATATATATATCTCTCTGTGTGTGTGAGTCAGTGACATCATTCTCGCACTTCATGTGTTCGATTTTTTGCGTGGTGGAGTGGTTGAATTCAAAGATTCATGCCCTCAGCCATTTTGCCAACATTGTAGAGGCAGTGATTTCACGCCTTGCAGGGTTCTTTTGAACTCGCAACATGCCTTTGGGCCAAGATGTCGTTGAAAAGGTGAAAGCCTACATCAAGCAGGCTGAGGACGGTGGGCATGTAGCCGCTATCTCCAATTTGTTCACTTACCTGAAGTCCCGCAATTTGATGTACACCCAGAGAGTGATCCCTTCTTTGGTGCACATTCACCCTGACAATCGGGATGGACTAGGTTGCTATCCCACAGAGGTCCATGGACTATTGACTGACATTGGCAGTAGTGGTTGGTCATGGTCCGAAGTGAAGGCTATAGCAACTGAAGTCCCGCATGGTGACACTAAAGTACAAGAGTTCAACCAGAAATTGATCCAGTCTTCACACGGCATGCTTCCAGAGGTGCAACCAGGGACTGTGAAATTTGCAAGCCTCAGCGCCACCCACACCAACTTGGTGTTGCGCTTGTTTGCAGCTGAATGCAAACACAGTGATGAAAGATTCTGCACCTCTGGGCATTTGAGCATGGAAAAACTCCAGCGCCATGACTGCAACTTCCATGATGCAGTGACGCATGGACTTTCATGGGACATTTTGTCATCAGAGATTTTGGGTTCATTTCCAGAGCTAGCTTCCCTTATCCAGCTCACGGCCAACACATCCGGGCAATTGCAAAGAAAAGAGACAGAACTCCAGCTAGCCAAGAGGGCTTATGCATGCTGGGAGAAAAAATCCAAGCAGAACCCCCAGGTGAAGTTTGAAGACGTGAAAGCCGATCTACTTAGGAGCAAGCCGGCATGCCAGGAATCACTGGCCAATCTCTTTCGGTTCGTCATGCAGTATGGCGGGGGTCAAGGCTGCAGTTTTTTGAATGAAACCATCCAAGTCTGCTCAGCATGTCCACCAAAGACCTTGGGCAATGAATTTTGGTCTGCAATTTTGACGCAGCCACGATTTTTGGCTTCTCTTCAGTCATATATTTTCTTGTGACATTTGCTTGTCTCATGTAAACTGATTTCCGGGTGCTTTTTCACATGGCAGCCATAAATTCAATTTAAGGACATGCGCCACCATTTCTTCGAACCCGGCATGCGTGCATTCAGTATGCACTGCATGGGGGGCACATTTCCCCCGGTGAGATCAAGAAACTTTTCAATTCCCAGCAGGATCGGATCAAAATGACTGAAACAATCATGAATAAATTGAGAGATTACACCAATGCAAATCCCATTGGCAGCGAGAATTGGGAGCATGTGCATCAGTTTGACCGTGATGCCATCAAACTTCTTCTCCAACAGAACCCCAGTGAGTCTGTGGAGAGCCGGGCATGCATGCTGGTTGACCAGATCCATGAGAGATCGGGAGTGAAGCTTACGGATGAATTTGATTCTTACCGTTTGCAGTCGGCCGATACGGCCCCATCATCCTCCAGCAAGGGTTCTTCGTCGCAAGGGGATGGCATGGTGACCCTCAGTTGCAACAAAACAATTATATTTCCAAACCATATACTGTGCAAGTTCATTTTGTTTTAGTTGCTTTTTTTTTTTGGCGTGGTTCCTGCGCAAACTGCGCAAACAATAATGTAAGGATGCGCCAATATGATGACAGTGGAACTTTGGTGAACATGCAAGAACTCCTGAAAGAACACGGCTTCGAAGTCGATTGTCACGTGTCACGGAAGGATGGAATTCTAGCCAAAATCAAAGCTTTTGAGGATGGCACCTCCAAGGTTCTCCTGTCTGTGAATGATGCCAAAGGTGGATCCAAGGTTGTGAAGGTGGACGCTTCCAGCTTCTTGAAAGGCCAGTGGACGAAGTACCAGCCCAAGGCCTTGCCACAGTACTTGGAGAACTGGTGGAAGCCAAGTTGTGTGGAGCACAAAGACTCCATAGTCTCCTACGTGAAGGGGAAGGTGGCAGTGGAGTTGAGGGCAGTTACCATGAACAGTGGTAGCTGTAGCTGCGCTCCACATGGGCTTCTGATTCGAAGCAAACCAGGCAAAGGTGTCGTTTGTGCCCTGAAGATTGGCAAGGGACAGCTGAAATTGTTTCCCTTCACCAACCGGGTTGACACCGGTAAGGGAGGCGATGGGTCAGTTCTGGTGACAAAGGTGGGTGACATGGAGTTCCACCTGCGCCAGAGCACTGGCATCACTGTGCCATTCTGGCACGTGGCTTCGGTTGCCGATGCAGCCATGGCCAACATGGAGATTGTCAACATGCCTGCCAAGAAGCATGATGGGTTGCTGGAGAGCATCAAGATTCCCTATATGCGGAACATTGCACCTTTGGAACCCGACACCGAGCTGTTCATCTACAAGCCTCCCAGCAAGGCGCGTGTCAACCCTGACTCCTTGGACCAGCTGATGCCGGCCAAACGACTTCGTGCCAAGGAGAATCTTTGCTAGGCTATATATGTGAACTTTTGAGAACAGTTCCAGACCCGTTGGCAAATGGTGGAGGGGTAAAAGAAAAACAAGCGGGCCAAGCCCTGCTAGCGGTTTTGCAACCTGCTTCCATTGAGATGTCCATGCATGACATCATCACAGTAGGGATTGGGAAGCATGTCTTTGGAAACATGCAGTTGCTGATACTGTTACCATGCACCCTTTGGGATCCATGCAAGTTTCACTGAATATCTTGCTGTAGCATTTGAGGCTTCAACACTTTCAATTGGCAGGGCCGTGTGCCCGCCATCGGCAGGGCTTTAAAGCCCGCTGTAGTCAGGTGTATTACTATAATACCTGATCATGGAAATTCAGAAAGCTCACAAGTTGACCATCGAGACTTTGGTGGGGTGCAAGTTGAATGACAGTGAGATCTGGATACCGAAAACCAAGATGATTGGAAACACCAAAGTGATGCTTTTGAGCAAGTGGGACCGCGGCTTGACACGGTTCATGACGGGCAAGAGCTTAGATCTTCGAGCCACCAGCACAAAGTCGTTGAACAACACTGCCGCTGGTGCGTACTTTGACGAGCTATGCCGTCAGAGAAAGGTGGCATGTGAGAAGGCAGTGATCAGTGCCCACTCCACTGATGATGGCAACGGCAAGCAAAAGAGACGCAGAGTGACTCTCTCAGACAGCATGTCTCACCTGAGTCCTCTGGTTGACATCTCCCTTCCGGAAGTTGTTGAACCAGCTATGCCGAAGCGCATTGTGCAGGTTGCTTTTGGCACTGGGCCTGAGATTTGGCTCGAAGTCAACGAAACCAACCTGCTTCAGGTCATCAGGGGCTGTTGTGAGTGTACCATGTCAAAGGGTCGCACTCGCAAGAAGGTCACAGCTGAGCCATCTCCTGCAGCAGACTCAGCAGACACCGTTTTGGACAGTCCACGTAAACCTGGATCCATTGCCTGTGAGGAGTCACAGGAGGTGAAATGTGAAGTTGAATCATTGCTGCAGGAGGAGGTAGCATCTCATGAGGGCATCACCTGGGGTGAGGATGCATACGATGCAACCCTCGTTGATGACCAGCACTTGGATACTCAGCCTTATGGGGAGCACTTGGAGATCCTTAAGCGTCAGAATGCCAAGGTTTGGAATGAGCGGCAATGAGTTCAATGCTTACCTTTCTGATGCCAATTAAGAATGATTTGAAGCCATACATGCTTTACCGCGGGTTGTATTCACAACCAGCACGTGTTACAATTCTATTTTGGGGTTTGCTGCGCACTTCAAAGTGCATAGACAGCAGTGTTCAGCAGGATTTGCTTGGCAAGAGGGAGAAAACACGTTTATTCAGAAATGTTCTGAGACCTGACAGTGCAACAATATAACTTCATTCTTTGAAAAAATCTGGAAAGCCATTCTTTGTTTTTGGTGGTGGGAGTGGCAAAGGGTTTTTCAATCACATGTCGTCAACCATGTCAGACTATATTGCATATACATGTCATGTCAAGTTTCGCAGATGCACTGAAAGTCTTGAAAACATGTTTAAACCACAGTTCTGTGTTGAGATGAGTCATATATTCCATCATGTCCAATCACAAGCGCAGTCCGACCTTGCAAGATGAGGTGCTCAACTGATTAATGCACCATGGATCATCAAGGTGTTTTTCATCAATGAAGCTTTGCAAAAGTTTTTAACTCCATGGATATGCATGTAGATATATTTCAATATATATAGAACATAAACAGATAAGTACTTATAAAACATATTGATCTCAAAATTCTGCAAGTGCAACATCCACACAAATCACGCACTCACCTTCACATGTCATCACCTGGCATTAACATCATGGATTTTTGAAAACATCCCTCGCCGCGTTACAAGACTGGGCCATGTCAGCCAATAGCACTAGCTCGAAACGTGGCCCACCTGAACCTGCACCTGAACTGAGTGAGCCTGGATCAGCAATCAGTTGGCTAATGAAGGACAGGATGGTGTTGGGTGACTGTTTTGTGTTTGGTTGTTTGCTGGCTATTGGGTGGCCCATGTATAGCCTTCTAAACTGTTTAGGAGAAAGGTCTTATCTCATTGGTTTCAAAGTCAAGCCATGCTTTTGTAAGTTTATGAGCGGCTTCTGCAGGACCACATGGGGCAGAGCGCCAAAACAAAGGCAAGGCGGCCTGCTGAACCTGCTTACCCACCACCGTGGCATGCGAAGAACCCAAAGGCCGAAGATACCCAGCTAAATTAGACCTTCAATGGCAAGTTTTGTTTTCCCATCAGAATCTCTTTTGGTACTTTATTTCCAGATGGAGACGTATACAAATTTATAGTGATCCCACATCACTCAGGAGATGACAATTAAAGAGAAGCTTGCGTTCTACCAGGACCGTTATGATCGCTTGCTGGACCCCGACCTTTGGATCTTGAGTGGGACACTTTTTTTTTTGGACCAAAACTGAACCCAAACCAAAATCAATGCTCAGTTCACCCACTTACTTTTTTGGCCCCAATGTTTGGCTCAACTTCCAGCTTCCCGATATCAGGAAGACTTAAAACGGCGCGATGCCTTGCGGGTGGTCTTGAACATGCAAAAGGAGGAGAAGATGGAAGAAGATGCTGAGAATGAGGAGGAGGGGGCAACACCCGAAGTAGTTACTTGTCCTGGAGTTCATGGGTAACAAAATTAACTAGCACTGGAAAACGTGTTGGAACAGCTCAACTTGTAGCTCAAGGTTGATGTTGTGCTTAGCTTGACTTGAGTATACAACATCTATATAGAATCTATATAGAAGTTGTGTTGGTTCTTCCATCCCCCAAGGCGAGCAAAGCCCTGCCAGCGGTTTCATAAAACCTGCAGTGATTCTGAGGCAAAGGAAGAACAGGATGATGAAGCCTATGATACAGTTGGACCCACCTATGAGACCGAGCCTCATGAAGACCACCGCGATGATGATGATGATGAGGGATGGTATGTTGCTGACCCGTGCGGTCGTGGATGGTACTGGCAGCACATGGATGGACGAACTGCTGCAGCTGATGGAGGTGATGGAGATGGAGGTGATGGATCTGCAAATGATGCCCGACCCCATGCAGCTGTCGTGGTAAAGGCCGCTATGGAAAAGGCAAAGGGAAAAGCAAAAGCCAGGCGAGCAGCCGTGACGGCAGCGGCTACTACGTGCATGGTGGTTTCGTCACTGCCAACGACGGCATCTTCCATGCGTGCCTTGGCTATTTCAAAACATACCTGTTGGGAGTAGCTGGAGTGATCTAATTTCTTTGGTGCAGGGTGAGTCATAGAAACATCTGGGGTCCTCCTTCAAAAAAGGACATATGACGTTTTTGCATGTCATGTTGTGACATCATTCACCAGCTGAGGTTTGGAGAAGGTCGCAATAGAAACCGTCGCCGCGCTGGACAGCAAGTTCAGGTGCAAAGGGCCCTGGTTGAATCTTGGCTTAATCAACTTGGACTGCTTTGGTTCATGGGATATAGCTCTCATTGTTTTGAATGCCATTCATGTGACGGAAACAATTCATTCGGCTGACAGAAACACCCCATTCATTTGATGGGTGAACGCACTATAAGCTTGCAGGGTGGTTGCACTCGCACCTGGCAGGGCATACGCCCGCCCGGCTTCAAGCCATACTCCTGGGGATATCCATTTGGTTACAGCCACATACATCCGTTTTGGGGAAAACTAGAAGAGGCAACGCAATGTGTCCAATGAAATTGATGAACCGTTGCATGGGTGTGACATTATGTCTGACAAGAATATCTGATGTCAAAACTAAAATCCTTGCTCTATATGGGTGCGCCACGGTACAATCCTGTGAAGTGACGGTATTTTGTATTCTGCCGGCATGTTGTCAAAGAACATTTCAAAGCTACGGTATGTGCCATCATGTTGGCTTTTGCCACCCACTAGAACATGCCACTTGTACTATTTTGTGGTGCTGTCAGCCTCAGTCGTCCATCTAAGGATGCTATCCGTGGCTTCCGTGACATGGCAGCGGTGCAGCGACAGATGGCTGAAAACAGCAGTGGGCCGGCTGGAGATGACCTCACTTGGCTATAATTTGGAGATTTAAAATATATTCCCAAAAATCAATTTTATATAGATTGATATTATTTTGGTTTCCCTAAATGCAAATTTTATATAGATTGATATTATTTTTGGCCCAAAAATGCAAATTTTATATAGATTGATACTATTTTTGGTCCAAAATGCAAATTTTATATAGATTGATACTATTTTTTGCTCAAAAATGCAAATTTTATATAGATTGATATTATTTTGGCTCCCCGGAGTGCCAATTTTATATAGATTGATATTATTTTGGCCCTCCAAACTGCAATTTTTATATAGATTGATAGTATTTCGGATTTGGGGGTTTCTTGAACCCAGAGGGATTTGGCTAGGGAGACCGCCAGAAATATTGAAAATTCTTGTGATTTGTGATTGGGAACCCCCACACACAGGGTTAGTTTAAACATTTTTCTGGGCCTATGGATGGTTAGATGGAATCGGAAACACCTCCATACCGACGTGAATTATCATTACCTTTGATCTGGGGAGCTTGGAAAATATTTATTGTCTCCTGGGGGGAAACCACATTATAGCCAAGGTGTTTTGCAGTGCTGCTGCCGCGTTGTTGCAATGTGGCTGCCAGAAAAGAAAAGGTAATGTACCAAAATATACCAAAATACATTTTGACTTTGGATTCCTCAAGAGCTGTTGTTTCCTCACATGGCAGCCTCGTTGCCTTTCACTATAAGAGCTCAGACATGTATGCAAGCTGTAATTTGCGAGATTCAATGTGCATGAGCAAATGCTAGCATGGCGTGAGAACCAAATGAATGTCAAACAGTTCTATTTGTGTGGCATGAGATGGCATACATATACACATCATATCGGCACACGCACAGTGTATACACATATATATATATATAGACATATTCATGCTGCAAAGTCTGAGCCTGGAACCGACTCACCTGATCGGAGTTTTCTCGGAGAAAAAAAATGCAGCCTTGAGTATCAAACCTGCCGGGCAAAGTCCAATTTTTGCAATGCCACTTCTTCCATGGATCTGGAAGGAGGCGAAGCGCACGGTTACGTCCAAGTATGTCTTTGGCCATGAGATACATATGGTAGAAGGATGGAGCTCCCTCGGACCAACCGCACAAACCAGAATGGATGACATGTGGTTTCGAGGGGAAGTTGGCAGTACCTGCTTCATCACCGTTTCGCCGATGAGGGCCATCAAGGTCAAGCTTATCATCCGCCAGCCCTTTGGCATGCTGTTTGGTCGAACGGCAGGTGGTTTTATGATCTATGTCAGAAAGGAACACCGTGCAGTTGAGCCACAAGTCCCTTTGTTGGTCAACGTTTCCTTGAACCTAGATCGTCAGACTGAAAACTACCTCCGGCCTAGCTTCGAGACCTTCAGTGGCAGAGGCATTCTGAAGGAGGAGCCTGTCCCAAAGGAATGGACGTGGCATGAGCTTGCCTTCTATGTGGCAAGAGCAGCCAGAGACCTCGGAGAACCATTCTCAAAGATGGACCCCTTTTACGTCCGCCTGATCATTGACCAGAAGATTATCTACCAGGGCAACTACAGCAGAACATTGCTTGCACCGCTGGTTGATGATGACATCACTCTGGCGATTCAGGAAGGGCTGCTTCCTCGAGATTGGGCTGAAGAACAAGGGCACGATCATGCACCTGCTCAAAGTCATGGGGATGGAATTCAGCCTGAGCCCAAGGCCAAAGCCGATGCGAAAGCAAAGGCAACGGCTGGTGTAGCTAGGAGCATCATGAAGCGTCCAGCAGGGAGGGGCAGGGCTGCCTAAACGATGGGCACCCGCCAGCAGTGTCATGTGAGACACGCTTGTTTTTGTAGGCAATGTAGCCATGGTTTTTGAACAGTGCGAATCTTGGAGCTTGGCATCTTGGCATCTTGGCATCCTGGCAGCTGAAAAAAGTTTGACACGCATTGAATATTGGAATTTGTTTAAAACTTTCATGATGTTCCTCACATTCAGCAAGAGATGGAACTTGTGCGCAAGTATCATACTTATTCCAGTTCCTTTTGCGCAGCTGCAGTTGCAATGGTGATTATACCAATTTGCAGCAAGGGCGGGCAGAGCCCTGCCAGCGGTCTCCATGCTATTTGGGAAACCTGCTTTCGTTACTTATGTATTTTCAAGATTCTCATGTAGGTTGCCCATGATAGTTTTGCGTCCCTAGTTGCCCGTAAGCAATGGATGCTTTCAAGAGCGCTTTGGCTGCCACTTTGGAGTTCTTGTCAAAGAATGAGAAGCTTGACAAGGTTTCCTATGAGGCCATTGAAGGTTCCCAAGTGGCAACTCTCTTGAAACGACTTGATGCCATCAAGCTAGAGCTGGGGCATGCATCAGAGTTGTCTGAACTGGTCCAGAACAGTAGCCTGGCTGAGTGCCACAAGACTTCGCTGATCAAAGCCCTGTCTGCAAGTTCATGCAAGGAAGTTTCCCAGAAGGGTGGGAAGCGGGACCATCAGTTTCTCCTGTCAGGTTTCTTGAACTACTTGACCCAGACCGAAAAAGAAGCCCTCAGAGATGACTCCAAGCATGCTTTCACGAGGTGCAGCATCCCAGTGGCACGCTGCATGAAAATCGAACTGTTCATGCCGTGCGAGAAAACGTATGGTCATGTTCTGGCAACACTCATAGAACATTTCCAAATGGCTGGGACTGCAAAGGAAGCAAATGATCTCTTGGTGGAATTCAAGAGGCTTCTTCGACGAGCCAGGGGCGACAAGAAACCGTCCCTTCTCCACTACCCAGCTGATCCAAGAGAAATGCCTGTCAACTTGTTTCAAGCTGCTTATACCAATGCAACCGAGCTGGATGCTGCGCAAAGCGCAAATTGCAAACCCGGCAAGTGGCTCAGAGCCAGCAGCAAGGACCTTCAAGAGATGGTGGTGCCTTTTCAAGGCCATGGTTCGAGGAGAGGAGGGCAGATGAACTTCATGCAGCAGCAGATGTTGATGCAGCAGCATCTTCAACAGATGCAGCTTTTTCAGCAGCAGCAACAACAAGGTGACCTCAATGGTTTGGTGATTTTTCCCAAGAAGAGGAAGAGCTTGGAAAACGGCAATGTTTCTTCGCCTTCTGGGCAGTCCAATGGGCAGGGTGGTGCGCCACTCGCCTTGCAGGACATTCCTGTCCGCAATTCTTTTTCTCTCCCAGACCCTGGTGCGCCTTCTTCTGAGCCATCTACAGGGCCAGGCGAAGCGAAACAAGAGACTTCAGCTGCTGCTAATGCTGCCGATCATGAAGTTGATGCCCACCTCAACGCCATGGATGACGCCTTCAATGCTCGAGGTGACCACAGGGCAGCATTGAAACGTCCAGCCAGCAAAATGGACCAAAAAGGAAAAGGCAAAGGAACCAAGAAGAACAACCAGGACAGCTCCAAAGGCAAAGGCAGCAAAGGCAGCAAAGGCAACCCCAAGGCCAAGTCCAATAGCACGAAGGCCAAGGGCAGTCCTGCAAAGACGAAGCGACCTCCACCAATTCCTCAGGGAGGACCTACCTGTTATTATCTCCAAGGAAAAATTCACCGCTCCGACAGCTCCCAGTCGTGGCGCACATTCAAGAAGGCAGGTGATCGATGCGACACCAAAATTGCTTGGAAAGGAAATCCCAAGGCAGCTTGGGAGCGTGCATTGGATCTGATCGAGGCCAGCTCCAAGAAGTGAGTTGTGAGAACTTTTTCGAAACCTCATGACTGGAGGTTATATTTTAGGTATAGCATTTGGATCTTTCACTTTCCTGGTATATAGCATGACTGTGCACAATGGTTTCGCATTGCGCCAACAAATCATGTTCTGTTTCTCTCCCAAGGGGTGTTGCCAATTATACTTCAATGGATTGAGATATTCTTCCGTCTATTATTTGTTTTCAGCAATGCAGGGGATGCACTCTTCATGTTCCGTGATGCGATGTCGTGTGAGAAGGAAAATCAGCTAGTTGCTGCAAGTGACTGCAAGTGGTTGTGCTCCATGACTGTGATGTATATAACAAATATGTTTTTCCTTCAAAACATGAACAGAGAACCATCTTGTGTGTCTAAATGAAACTTGGTTATAGCTGGCATTTGCACAGGATTTGTGAGTGCTTCGTCCGATGTCGGCTCACGCGTTCTTTCGAAAATTTGTGTGAGCATCAAACTATAGAAAGATTTTGTGAGCAAGAACATGTATATACAGATTTTTGTGAGCATGAGAATGGAAGGGGTTGAAATCTTGTGTGAGAAAGAAACATGAATCAAGTGACTTGACTATTTATATTCCATGATTTGTGAACCTTGAAAACCTTTATATGTTCTGCTGCAGCCGTTTGCATGAAACAAAAAAGGTTTCAGGAAAAGAAAATGAGAAGAAACGCAACACCATGGTTTCAGCTTCAGTTCCCCATGGCCCCACACCTCAAGGGCAAAACATGTTGAGACATTTATCAGTTAGCATACATGCATACATACATACATACATGCATACATACATACATACATACAAACATACATACATACATACATACAAACATACATACATACATACATACATCTATACATTTTTTATTTAGGGATTTCATGGGGGACGTCCAATTTTGGTGCAGGGCGGTCTATATCCGCTCGCGGCAGGGCATACGCCCGCCTGTGTTCAACCTTGGTTTGTTGAGCCATGGCAAGCCTTGCCTCCCTTGGACGCCAAAGGTACGTGTCCCAGAATGCTCTGGCTGCCATTCTGGATGAGGTCAAGAAGAATGGCATCCCCAAAGCTACGTCCCGTTCAAGCATCAAGCGATCTCGGGAGATGCAGCTTGAAGAGATGACCAATGAGTTTGGCCACTTGATCTCTTACATCGACTTTGAACAGTGCAGCCCAAAAGGTGAAACCGCAAAGGGAACAGTCAAGTTGCCCTTCATCAATCCACTGGCTTTTTTCCAACACATCGTGTCTGACTGCGCTGGTGTTGGTGAAAGCATTGATTCACCACTGGAAGTCATTGTTTACAATGATGAGGTTAGCCCTGGTAACCAATTACGACATGATGCAACTCGCAAGATGCAAATTATATATTGGACCGTAAAACAGGGACCAGGGCTTGGAGTAGATCAATTGTGGTTTACTTTGGGGGTGGCCTGCTCCAGTGAGATTGCCAAAATCAAAGGCGGGCTGTCAGCCTACATGAGACAGGCTATGGGTTTGTTCTGTAGTCCTGTGGATGCCCGGTTAGGGTTCCAGCTGCGGTGTGAAGATTCTGTCGTTTTGAAATTCATTCGCTTTAGCATGTTCGTTGCAGACGAAGTTGCTTTAAAAGAGACATTTCAGTTTAAGGGTGCAGCAGGCGTTCAGATCTGCCCCCTTTGCACCAACATTGTCTCTGAAGCCAGTGAACTTCACAGATACTCCGACCGGCTGTTGCCAAGTTCCTCTGTTGAACCATCGCAGTGGCAAAGGGCCAACAGTGAATCCATCAAGGCCAAAATCAGAAGATTGCACGACTCTGCAGGATGCACCACCCGTCAAGCTTTTGAGGACATGGAAAAAAGTTAGGTTGGGTGTACAACTTGGATGGGTTGCTGGCCGATGGATATCAAACTCCTTTAGGGATTGATGTGGCCAAAATGCTCCAATACGACTGGATGCACACTTTATTGGTGGCTGGCTGCTGGAACATAGAAGCAGGAGCGCTTGTCGCAGCGCTGAAACCTCTTGGCCATACACAAAAAACATTGCACGACTTCTTATCCAGTCTTACATTTCCATCAAGTATTGCCAGCCATGCTGCCACTGGAAAGAACATATTTAGGAAGAAGCAAGAAGGCAATTTGAAGTGCAGCGCTTCTGAAGGGCTGGGTGTATACTCTTGCATTCGAGCTTTCTTGACTGAAAACAATGATTCCCTTGGCAGTGTCTGGAAGGAAGTTGCCAGCTACAGCGCGTTGTGTAGCGTTTTGGATGTCATGAATGGTGTGAGGATGGGGAAGAAACATCCCAACGATTTGTCGCATTCCATCAATGTTTACGTCAAAGCCCACCAAAGAGCTTATTCGACTGACCTGTGGGTACCAAAGTACCACTACTTACAGCATATCCCAGAGATGATCTTGGCTCATGGGGTGGTTGTTGGTTGCTTTGTGCATGAGCGCAAACACCGCGTTGCCAAGCGGTATGCAGAGAACATGAGAAATGTTGGCGATGGTTTTGATCTTTCGATTTTGAAAGATGTTCTGCATGCAAACCTGCATGACTTGTCGGACAAGGACATTGGCCAGCTTCACATTGGCTTAGTGCAACCAATCCGCGCACCAATGCGCCTGCAGCTGCTTCTGCAGACTGCCTTGCAGCTTCATGGTAATGATGTGTTCTACTCTCGACAGGCTCACTATGCCATGGGGTCCTTGAGCTCTGTGGATGATTTTGTTGTGTTGCACACTGACAGTGGCTATGTAGTAGGGCAGGTTCTGTTCTTTGCTAGTGTGGGACTGCAGGTAGACTTAGTCTGTGTTTCGATTTGGGGCTCCAGAGGGGCAAACCACTTTGAAAAATCTGACCAAGAATGTTTCTTTGATTTGACTTGCATTGATGATTGCATGATATACCGACGTCTCTCGCCAACGCGAATCGTTGCAGTGGCCAACTCACTTTGGCTTTGAACATGCATGAATGCATGTTTCTTCACGACTTTCTTGAATGCAGATGACGAAAAAATGCGAGCTCTGTTGGCCCTGCAGTTGTGGCGAGCTTCCTGTACCCTGCCATTTGTTGCGCATTTGGGGTATACTGGGTATACCTTGCAGAGCAAGAGGGAGGCTCTTCATATAGGTGACCAAAACATGTGGAGAAGAACTCGTATCTGAATTTGGGACAATTGTGCTATATAAGACATGCACTGACCAACTAGATGCGATTTGCAAATTTGTGGGCAACAAATCCAGAATGTTTCCTCGGATGTTCAACATGACAATCCGAAGTTGTAAAGTCCAACATATTAGGACCACATGCGGGATTGACTTTCATAAGTTCCTGTTGGCAGCGACGCTGCAGATTTCAGCATTTTGATCTTTGATTTAGACAAAATACTTGCCAACCTTTGCCTTCAAACCTCTCATGTTGTTTCACAAAAGTTATATTGACACCAGCATTTCTGCCCCAAGCGCAGGTCTGCCACAAGTTCAACATGAAGCTGCAAGTGGGCAGCACTTATATATATGAACACCACCAACACCACCCCACAAAATATCGGGTATTTTTTTTTGGGCGCATGCTTCTGGAATTAATGTTATGAAATGGAGAGGTATATATCCCAAAGTGACATGAATGTTGGTTTTACATGTATGTGAGATCTGAAATGGACGTTTCCATCACAAAACGGGTTACTTTGGAATTACACACGCATGGGTAATGGCACCCCTGCATAAAAGTTACGACCCACCCCAATAAAAGGTATATGACCCACAAAACAGCAACATCTGCAAGGTTTCATGATGGTTCAAAAATCTATAGTCTTGATTCCCGTATAGCCCGTCATAAGTTTGCTTGCAGTGGTTTGAACCCTATATCGATGCCTTCTGTAAAGTATAAACTTTCTAAATTTGGGGAAAGAATCCTAGATCGATGCCTTCTGTGGAATATACAGTTGCAATTTTGGGGGCAACTGATACGGATTTTTGGCTAGTTTTCTATGAAGTTAGACGCTTTCTAAGTCACTTATAAGTGGACTTAGCTAAGCCCTCTAAGTGACTTAGGCCACTTAGAGCTAACTGCCCTAAGTCCACTTAGGCACTTAGATCTAACTGCCCTAACTGCACTTACGTAAGTCACTGATAACTGACTTATAAGTGCTTCATAAGTCGTTGCACCTAAGTGCTTAAGTGTGATGTAAGTAGCCTAAGTACTTATAAGTAGCTAGCAACCGGCCCGGTCATCCAAGTAGTATTGCATCATTTGAAACCCTGGCCCAAATTGCTTTGGTTTGGTTAGTTGCGACTTGTTTTCCAGGGTTTCGATTTCCAATCTGCTTGAAATCACTGAGTGACAATACGGGAGCAGAGAGCGTGAGCAACAAATTATTCACTACGACTCATCCGCTATGTCTTTTTGTCGAGATCCTCACTTGCTTGGCCTCGACTACCGGTATTGAGCTCGATGTGAGCCATATTCCTGGCGCGGACAATATCATCGCGGATGATCTGAGCCGATGGGATTTTTCAGATATCATTCCACACAAATTTCAACTGAGTGAACGAATTCCTCTTTCACTCCGCCAACTCTGGCACTGTTCCCCATCTCCTACTTTGCATCCCCCTGATTCCAAACTTCTTTGGAAACTCCCGGTTACATAGTAATCTGCTGGAATGGTTCTCATTCTTTTGTTTGGGGCTGTATTGGCGATAACCATTAACCAGATAGTTCTAACTTGGGTTGTTGGTGCCATCTGGTCAAATGGTTTGATTAAAGTGTGATCGAACCAAGCCTGGTTCAACAGTGAGACAAACCATCCAGCAGATGAAAAGTGGGAGTGCTTTTGGAATCGGAAACGAGACAAGGTCAGTTGGGAGATTCGAATTCGTTTTTATTTTTTGGCGTTTGTTTCTTTTGGCGTTTGCGTGATCTAGATTTTATCTCAACAAATGAAAGTCCGTGAAGAACGTTTAACGTACTTGTTCGTTGTGTTTTGCAAGGATCTTCTTTGTTTACCCAATTGAATTTTGGCTCAAGGACTTTCATTTGTGCGTTCACATTTTTCTTTTCCCTCCCTCCCACTCCTTGTTCTCAAGTTTCACATGCAGTTTAACAGTTTTGACTCCCAAGCTGCTCATATTTTGGACCTTTGAGTCATTTGCTTATCGGCACTGGCGATTCTGTTTGATCGCTCCTTTTTTCACTCGACATTGGGCTGAGATAGCCTTGTCTTCAACATGGTGGTGACTTTTCTGTCACTTTTGCATGCTATGCAACTGTCATTCCTGCACAATGGTGCATTACATGTCACCAATTGACCCGAATGGGTTGTTGGTGCCATCTGGTCAAATGGTTTGATTAAAGTGTGATCGAACCAAGCCTGGTTCAACAGTGAGACAAACCATCCAGCAGATGAAAAGTGGGAGTGCTTTTGGAATCGGAAACGAGACAAGGTCAGTTGGGAGATTCGAATGCGTTTTTATTTTTTGGCGTTTGTTTCTTTTGGCGTTTGCGTGATCTAGATTTTATCTCAACAAATGAAAGTCCTTGAAGAACAACTAGGAAGGCCCTTTTTGAGCGAAGCCGGTTTTGAGAAGGTTTTCCGGACCCAGAATTGGGTCAATCGGAGCAAGCTGTTTTGTAGATGATTTTGTTTCTTGTTGGGGCAAGCGGGGTGCATATCGGTTGCTGCTTGAACCCACTTGGAGTTACCTTCTAAATATTTGGTTGCGTCTGGTGGCTTGGTTGTTTGCCGCTAAAAGGTCATGGCATAAAGCAGCTTTGTCAATGAAGTAGACTGTCTTACATTCTTTATTTCACCTTTCCACTGGCTACATGGCAGGGTCATTGCTAGCCTTTGGATTTTTTTTATTTATCTTATCAAGGCTGTGAGGTCAGTTGCTGTTGAGATTTGCTCTGTGTGATCTCGGGGCTCCTGGCTGGGGGGGAACCCTGGTTTCCGCACAGTGCTGTGTTGGTTTTGTCCTCACAGACTTGGAGTATGGCGATGTCGTGACGTGTGCTTTGTTTGAGTTTATTTCGCCATACCAATATCAAGGTGATGCAATGTCATCACCTTTCACACACTATTAACATTGGAAACATTTGCCGCTTAATTGCCCCTTGTTTGTTTGTTTGTTTGTTTGTTTGTTTGTTTTGTGTAGGTGGTTGTGTTTCGTTTGGTTCCTTTGTCTTGTTTTGTGGTTTGTTTGTTTGTTCTTGTGTGATGGCAGTTGACGGCACATGTTGGACCAGTACTGTACTTTTGTTAATGCTGCCTTTTGCAACCTCCTCTCACCAAGAGGTACGTGTTTATGCAGTAATTAGGGAATTTGTATAGATGCAACGTACACCACAGTGTGTTGAACGACCTGGCGGAAGCCAAGAGGCGTGGGACGGAAAAAAAAGTCAATGGAAGTAGACTGGATTGGCTGGCGCATTTCCCTTGCATCCTGGTTGATCTCGATCCCAGACACCAAGATCCGTAAGATCATGTCTCAGGTGCACTCCTTGATGGCTCAAACCAAAGTGCCCATCAAAGAGTTGCAATCCCTGGTTCGACGTCTTCTCTGGCTTACATCAGCTTGGCACTACTTGCGGCCGCTGTTGCTCCCCCTTTACAAAGCCTTGAGCCGGCTACCAGTTACCATGGTTGGTATGGACCATGTGGTTTTTCAATGCTTGGTATCCAACCTCTCATCTGACATGGTGCTACAAGAGGACCTCACACATCATCATCATTCATTGGCCAAGGATGTCACCCTGGTACGGGTTGCTAACACCCACGTCAAGGCTCTGACAGAGGTTCACAGCTTACATTTGCGTTCAAGACGAGTTTGGATCGGAATCCTTGACCCAAATTCCCCCTATCGTATGCTTGAAGATGATGCACACGCGGCCTTGGCGGTTGTTGACCTCTACCATTCTCCCTATCTATGACGCCGCCAGTCCACATCGAGCTGACAGCCACAGCAGACGCAATGGCTACCACCGTGGTCGCTGGCATTAGTGGTGGTGTCTTCTTCCCACATGGGTCTTGCCATAGGTTTCAATTCAAAATCCACCTTGACGAAGCGACGACCCTCTGGGAATGGGTGGGGTCTGACATGCAAAAACATATTGCAGCATGGGAATTTTTGGCACAATACGCTCTGACGTATTGCATCCACACGGCCTTGCCCAATTGTCGGAGTGCGATCTCTTGCATACAAGGCACTGATAACAGTGCGGCAGACGCAGCGAGTGCAAAAGGACTATCCATGACACCCGCAATGGCTATGGTCCTGGCTCCTTTCTTTGCATTCATGCGCCGCTACCAGATCTACCCGGTACCCTAAGATCACGCACATTCCTGGACATCTCAATGACATCGCTGATGCTTTGAGCAGATTCAAACAGCCTCTTCCTGAACCCCTCACACTGTCCAACCAGTGTGAGGTGCGGTGGCAGACGCTGCTTGACTTTGCATCAATTTTCACTGCACAGTCTGGCCGAAGATGGCCTCACAAATTTTGCATTGGCAAAAAATGGTGTTTGCAGAGTCCGCCGACTCAGGGTTCATCAATCGATCGTTTGTTGGGGAGTTTGCTCCGGCTGGTCGATTTTCGATCCATATTGGTGTTTGGTACTCCCCACTTCACTCACAACCTTTTACTACCCCGGCATTTGGGTATGTACATGTGGGTTGTTTGGGGGTGCCTGTGATCTGTATCATATATTGTACTTAGGTGGACCCGCTGGTACCATGTGTCGATGTACAAACTTACAGATCCATTTGCACCACGATCAAAATGGGCGCGATAGAACCCTGCAGCTGCATAGCACCATGTTCCATATTAACGATACTTATAGCTATGAAAGTTGAAGCAACGGAAACTGAACTGTGAACGCTGCTGACTTGAAAAGTCGCATCTGAGGCGGGGTGAAGATAATTTCACTCCATTACATGTCCAGTTGTTTGCAGTACAAACGCAGTTCAATTTGGATTTTCGTTGCAGACATGTCGAACCCATACATGTCAGTTTAGTTGCAGTTGCATGTGCAATACATAGATGTTACAGTAGGCGTTTTGTGCGAGGATCAAAAGGGCGCTGCCAATCAAACAATCCTCGACCCCTGCCCACAATGATTTGTACCACCAGTCAACACTCTTACCCTTGTTTTCATGCTGCGCATTGTGTTTGCAGAACGTGCCCGGCAAAGTCTGAATTCACTAAATCAGCTGCAGTGACATGTCACAAAGCTTTATGAAGTTGAAGACAGAGCGCCTGGTCTGTCAACTTTCGGTCCAAGAGGAGGGAGGGCGGGTTTTTGCCACCGTTCTTTTGGCTAAATCGTGGGAGATAGGTCTGTTTCTTCTCCGCCGGGCATTGATTGGGCTGCATACTCAGATTCAGCGCTTCTTCAAAGCATCAAAACAATTGTGGACGAGTTGCAGTCCAGAGCTGCAGCAAGGGCAGCAGGGGTGGGGCAGTCGTGGGACGCCATCGTTGATATCCCTGCGGCCAAGCCTGCAACTACGCCTAGCCTGGAGGACAAGCCTAGCTCCACAGATGAGAAGAAGGTGGCAGAGCGAGTACAGGAGTGGTACTAAAAACCTGGATGACATGCCTTCCAACATGCCCGTCAACCTTGATGGCGAGGAGTCTTTGGTTGGTGAGTTTTTGGATCGGTCTCCTGATGGAGTGGATCAGTTGGAAGGACATCAACAGGCAAGTGCCGTGGAACTTTTGTTTGGACCCCATTCTGACGATGCATTTGCAGGTGGGGCCCATCAATCCTTTTTTGAACCCGCAGCTGAGAGTGGCAATGCAGGCAGTGGTGTCACTTTTGTGGAGGCTGGTACAGATTCTGCCGAACAGTCTGGTTCCTTCTCACACGTGGGCAAGACTGCACCGGACACCATTATTTCTGAAGCAATCAGGCTGACAGATAAAAAGCTTGTTCTGTATCCTTGGGAGAAAGGACGCATGGCTCGGATTTTTGGTGACAAGGGCAGGCTCGAAACAAAGATGCCGCGGCTACACGCCAGTAGCAACAGTTTTGTCAGGGTGAATGTAGAAGTTGATGAGGGCCTGCGTTGCGCTGCGTCCATTGGTGTGAGACCAACACGCACTGATGATGCCTTGTACGTCGGTGTGGTCAAGCAGGTTATTGGAGGATCCTACATAGAAGAACGTGACGCCAAACGGGAGCTTGCTGTCAGGTATTGGTGGGACCTTCTTAGACTGGACATGCAGTGTAGCGATCCCGGCAGGATTGCATTGCAAGAAAAGGGCCTAGCAGACATCTACAAAAATGGCATTGAGATCTTGGATGCATCGTTGGGCGTGAAAAGTCCCAACACAGTCATGAAAAGGCTGTATGCAGTCAAAACGTATAACACCTGGGTGATGCGCCATTTTGGCAAGTCATGGTTGCCAGTTGATGAGAGGTTGGTATGGGACTATTTCAAAAGTCTGAGGGCTGAGAAAGCTCCAGCCACACGAGCCACATCGTTTTTGGAAGCTCTGAGGTTTTGCTTCTTCGTCTTCCGTGTGGATGGCTCTGAGGAAGCTCTTGGTAGTCTTCGAATCCGAGGACTCGCGGCACAACTTTTCTCTTGCAAGAGACCTTGGAAGCCAGCCGACCCTCTGTCGGTAGCTGACGTGCATTTCCTGCACGAGGCAATGATGGACAAGCGACGCTGCATGGTGGATCGTGTTTTTATTGGACACCTGCTACATATGGTATATGCGAGGGCTCGCTTTTCTGACCTGTTGGCCTCGGTTAACTGCATGTTAGACGACGAGAATATGTTCCTCGAGCTGGATGCTGCAGTGCACAAGGGTTCAAGAACCGCGACCACCAAAGCAATGCTACTCCCAGTGGTAGCGCCTGCCAATGGAATCAATGATGATTGTTGGGCTGCTGAATATCTTGCTTTACGAAAGAAAGCGGGGCTGGCTTTGCCTGGGAAAGAACCAAAACCCATGCTGCCAGCACCAGAGAAAGGCGGCACAGGTTGGCAAGAGAGGTATTTGACCTCGCAGGAGATGAACTCCTTCATGAAGAAGCTCTTCACGGATGGTGGTATCCCGTTGGAGGGCAGGAGGATCTCAACACACTCATGCAAGGCGACTTGCATCTCTTGGTGTGCCAAGCATGATGTCTCTCCTGAACACCGTGCGGTGCTTGCGCGACATAGCACTGCTGCTCAAGGTCCAACTGCACTGTACTCCAGGGATTTGGTAACTGCAGCGCTTCGAAGCCTGGTCAAGGTCTTGGAAGCGATTAGACAGCAGACCTTTTTTCCGGACAGGTCTCGTTCAGGAATGATCACGCCAGTTCCTGTGCCGAGTGCTCCTGGGCCCACAATGCCGATGCCAGCGACTCCAATGCCGCCTTTGCAAGCTGAGCGCCAAGGTGATGTAGCTGGTGAGCAGCAAACAGATGGGAACAGCATGGTTCCCTCACCTGAAAGCCCGCTGCCGGAAACACCCAAGTCATGGCAAAAGGTTGACTGGCCCGTTGATGAGGTGGTCGAAGTTGAGTCGCAGGTGCCTGATCCACCCGACTTGCTGAGGGACTGGGACTGCAGCTCAAGCGATTCTTGCAGTGGCTCCGAGAGCGACAGCGATGTGGAGGTGAGTTGGGAGCAGGCTGATGAGCCTGACAAAGCCTCCCGATCTTCTGTGCCATCCACGTTGAGGTGGTATATCAACGGCAGCACCTTGGTGATTCATGAACGACGGAATGAAACGTTGTTCAAGTGTGGAAGGGTCATTGGACCGCCTTACTTCCCGGTGCACCAGCTGACTGGGCTGCGATGCGGAAAGTGTTTTCCAAACGCTATCTGATCCAGTGGTTGCCCACTGCGATAAAAAGAAGCGGTTTGCGCCGCTGATTGGTTGTTTGCGCAACCTTGAGAATGCTGGTATGCCCAGCCATGTCATGTCTGAACAGTTGTTGACGCAACGTGTTTTTCACTTGAAGCATTGGCATGTTTGTTGATTTTTCACATGTGGTTGTTGTGGAATTTGGAATGACGTGATCTTTTGTCCATGTGTTTTCCCTCGAGGCATTTGCATGTCAGATTGTTTTGTTGGTTTGCAGTGATTCATCAGCAGGGGCAATGCTTGCAACTCTTGTTCGCGAAGTTTGTGCAATATCTGACAGTTTCTGGTTCAAGATGGCAGGCATTGTTGACAGTGAGGCGCACTTCGAATCTCGAGCCATCGAGTATGGTTATGACGTAAAAGGCTTCATTTTACTGGAAACCAGCAAATAATTAAAAAAACAAAAATAAAACAAAAAAAACAAACCAAAAAAACACACCCGAAAAAAAACAAACCAAAAAAACAAACAAAAAACAAACAAAAACAATAAAAATACAATAAACAAAACAAACAACAATAAACAGCGCACGGTTTGAAACTCAGAGAGACTTTGTGCTTCTCCCTAATCGCCGCAGCTTGTTGATACCACTTGCTCTCAAAGTCCACAGTCTGCTGCGTTGCCTGCTGCCAAGCTGCGACCAAGACTCCCAAAATCCAACAAGGGCTGCCTAGTCAAAGCTTCAAACAGTGCCTATTGCCCTTGATGGGGGGCAAGCAATCAGTCTAGGGGGTGCCCGCGGCGGCTCGTGGTACTCCTTTTTTTTTGTGGTACCTCCTTTTTGGATTGTTTTTTTGGATTGTTTTTTTTGTTTTTTTTTTCGTTTTTTCCTTAGGAAAAAAACGAAAAAACAGGGTACCACGAGCCGCCGCGGGCACCCCCTAGACTGATTGCCTGCCCCCCATCAAGGGCAATAGGCACTGTTTGAAGCTTTGACTAGGCAGCCCTTGTTGGATTTTGGGAGTCTTGGTCGCAGCTTGGCAGCAGGCAACGCAGCAGACTGTGGACTTTGAGAGCAAGTGGTATCAACAAGCTGCGGCGATTAGGGAGAAGCACAAAGTCTCTCTGCGTTTCAAACCGTGCGCTGTTTATTGTTTTTTGTTAGTTTTTTGTTTTGTTTACTGTTTTTTAATTGTTTTTGTTTTGTTTTTTGTTTGTTTTTTTTGTTTGTTTTTTTTTGGATTGTTTTTTTGGTTTGTTTTTTTTTGTTTTCTTTTTGTTTTTTTCATAATTTTAATTATTTTCCATTTTCCAATGAATGAAGGGTTCTCGACGTCATAAGAGTATGGTGTGCCAGCAAATTTCCTGCAGGCGCTCAGACGTGAGGGCATTACAACTGTGGGACACCTAGCTTTTGCGGTTTTTAGGCCAGGGGCAGAGTTCAACGAGCGTGAGTTTGATAACTGGGCTCAGGGGGTGAACAACAATGTGGCTTTAACAATGGGTGCAGCAGCTGCAGTGAGACGCCTTCACTATGAATGTGAGGTCATCATGACATCAACAATTAGATCAACTGTGGAAACACCTGATGCTTCTGCCCCGAAAGCCATACCGTTTGCAGAGAAGACAGCTAGGATGGATCAAATTAGACAAGGCTGCAAGGACTGAATATCACTGGTGTTGGTGAACCTTCGCACTCACTTTGGATGAGTGTGCACATCAATTTGAGACCAGGGTGCTCAAGTATCTTGAGCCTGCAAGGTGTACGAGCCGTGAAAACGAAATCACCTCAGGTCGCACTGATAAAAAACTCAAACTGGATGCTGGAAGCTTGAGTGTCAAGGAATCGAAAACGGTTCCGGACGAAACAGTGTCGACCACTTACAACCTTGCAGCATGCTTGCGCAGACGTGGAATAGCATATGACTTTGCCAATTTGGTCAGTTTCCGTTCCCATGAGTTGTATGTGGAGAAATTGTTGCGCCATCTATCTCTGGAACCTCCGCCTTCATTTCAAGCTGTCACGTTAGCACAGGTCATGCGGGCCGACAAGGAAGTGTTCACATACCTTGCACATAATGTACAGGATATCAGACCAGATGCTGCTGATGTCCGACCACTTGACCATGCTCTGGAAGATGCGTTGAGAGACTACAACACGGCCTTCCACCTTTTGCCTTTGCCCAAAGTGCCAGCCAGTGAACATGTGCCCAAGCGTACTTACCCTGAGCCATATCCAACTCACAACACCTACAAAGGAAGGGGCAAGGGCAAGGGCAAAAGTGGAAAAAGTTTTTGTTCCAACGCTGCGCCCAAAGGCTATCCCGGTTGTGTCGGAAGAGATGGCAAAAATAGGCCAATATGTTTTGATTTCAACCTTAGCCAGTGCACCAAAGCTCCAGTCGGTGCTGCCTGTGCCAAAGGGCGACATGTTTGTTTCAAGGCAGGATGTTTCAAAGCTCATCCTTTCAAAGAGGGACATGCAGACGAAGTCAACAAGGAGTGACTAGCTCAGCAGAGGTTGGTGGATGCCCAACCTGATTTTCTGACCTCCAGTGAACATGTTGTGGTCCTGGAACTTTTTTGTGGAACCGCAGGATTGAGTGCTTCGTTGAAACGACTTGGACTCGATGTGGTTGCAGTAGACAAGACAAAACCCAAAGCGCCCAAGGCGCTTGTAACAAAACTTGACCTGACGCTCACTTCAAATCAACTTTTGGTGCTCAGCTGGATTCGGAACGAACAGGTTAAAGCTGTTTTCATGGCTCCACCCTGCGGCACTGCAAGCGCAGCTCGCAACATACAAAGAGCCGATGACCCATTTCTGCCGCAGCCACTGAGAACAAAGGAATTTCCAGATGGCCTCCCTGATTTGCAAAACCTGGATTTCTTGCGTGTACAACAGAGCAATGTTTTATATGATTTTTCTGGAACGGTTTTTGATTTGTGCTGCGAGCTTGGTAAACTGTGCATGTGTGAAAACCCAAGGGACTCACTGTTTTGGGACACCACCCCATGGATGGAGAGAAGACATCAAGCAACGGATTGCGCCCAATGTTACCAAGCATGCGCTTATGGTTCAATGCGGCCAAAGTGGACAAAATTGCTGGCGAATTTTCCTGAAGTGCAGCAAATCAATGCCGTTTGTGATGGCAAACACAAACATGAGGCATGGGGATATCAATTTCATAATGGAAAAAGACTCTACGCTACAACTTTGGAAGTTCATTATCCCTCTGCATTGTGCGAGAAAATCGCCACGACCTTTCTTTTGGTATTGCAAAAACGTGGCCTTGCAGTCAATTTGCAAATTCCGGTTAACTTAGCTGCACGTACGCTTGCCCAAGATCAGCCAGTCAGCAACAAGATTGCCCCGCTTGTGCCTGAGTTCAAAAACAAATGCATTGCGTTGTTTCGCGACAATACATGCATATGGCCGCACCATTGTGACTTCTTACAATCTTCAAAAGTCCTGCAAAAAGTTCAAGTGGGGGGTGAAAGTTTGCAGTCCTTGCGCAGCAATGTTCATGACCAATGTCTTTTGTGGAATATTGATGTACACGTTGAACTTGAGCACACCATTTGCAGTTTTCCGTGTTGTTTGGATTTGAAACTTTGTGGAATTTTTTGGAGTGAACAGGAGTTTGTTGAACAAGCCATGAAAGCGAAACATCCACTCTCTCTGGATTCGGCCGTGCCACAACAGTTACTGGATGCTCTCAACTTCACAATCAAAAATGATGAAGCAACTGTGGCAAGAGTAAGAGCTGAATTTTTCTCTCGTTGGACGCGTAGAGCCTTGCAATAGGAGAGTGATGAGAAACGGCTCAAGAACAGCATGCAACCTGATGTAGCCAATGCGGTCAAGGGCAAAAGAATTTTACTGTTTGAAGAAATGCTCAAATCAACGGGATATCCCGATCTTGGAGTTGTGGATGAGCTTCGATATGGTTCAGATTTGACAGGTGCGGTGCCGGTCACCAACATGCTCCCCAAGAAGTTCGAGCCTGCGCTGATTTCTGAGAATGAACTGTGCAAGAATGCAGCAAGAATGAGAGACACTGCAGTGCGGGAGGTACGGAGCTCTGGAGATGATGAGATTGATGAGATTGTTTGGAGAAAGACTTTAGAAGAAGTAGACAAAGGGTGGTTAGTGGGTCCTCTGAGTGACGATGCTGTGTCAGCTGACCGCCCACTTTCCCGACGGTTTGGTTTGCGCCAACGACATGATAAGATTAGATTGATTGATGACTACTCTGAGTCAGGTGTGAATGCTTGTGTAACAGTTTCAGAGTCTCCGATGTTGCACACAGTGGATGTGGCATGTGCACTTTTAATGATTTGGTTCAGTGCGTGCAAGGAAGCCAAAGTTGACAGCGATCTGGCTGTGCGTACATTTGATCTAGCGAGCGCCTATAGACAGGTTGGTTTGAGTGCAAATGGTCAGCAATTTGCCTATCTTCGGGTCTTTAACCCCCGGAGTGGAAAGGCCAATTTCTTTCGGAGCCTAGTTTTACCTTTTGGGGCGGTGCGCAGTGTGCATTCATTTCTACGACTTGCAAGGGCATTGTGGTGGCTGGGTGTTACTGGATGCTGCTTCATTTGGACATCATTCTATGATGACTTTATTTCATTTAGCCGACCGAAACTGGTTGGAAGCACTGAGCAGGCGGTTACTGCACTGTTCAGGCTGTTGGGATGGATCTTTGCAGAGGAAGGTGACAAAGCACAACCCTTCGACTTGCACTGCTCCGCCCTAGGTGTGGTTTTTGACCTTGGCTCAGCATCAACAGGCAAAGCCTTAATTTGCAATACGGAGTCAAGGAAGGTTGAACTATGTGAAGAGTTGCTGAAAGTTGTCAAGGAAGGGCGCCTGGTGAAAAAACAGGCGCAACGTTTACGCGGCAGAATGCAGTTCGCGGAATCTCAGTTGTTTGGCCGTACAGGCAAAAAATGTTTGCGTGTTTTGGCTGACTTCTCGGAAGGCAAAAGGTCTGTGCTTACAAACAAAGACAAGTTCTTT